TTTTTTTTTTTTTTTTTTTTTTTTTTGGTACCGTGATCAAACTCAGGCTCTTGCATTTGTGAGGCAGGTGGCAGAACCATTGAGCCAAATCCCCGGTCCTCATGTGTGCTTTCTTGAAGTGCTACAAGGTAAGGATGTGGCTCCATGAAAATCTGTTTTGGTCACTCCTCTGTTTGTCCCTCCACTCACTAGTCTTCTGCCTTGTCTGCTTTGTGAGCTTTTTTCTTTTGTTACTTATTCCATGGTTGGTTAATAAAGGGCTTGGATTCTAAAGTCAGACAGGCTGGACTTCTGACCTAGGGTTTCCCTGAGTGGAAACGGGATACCAGCATATGCTGGTAGGAATGCAGACCAGTACCACCCAGAGGCCACTAAGCAGCATGTGTCACAAAACATGCATGCAGGTCCCTTTCACCGCAACGGTTCTGCTTCTAGCTCATGGTACTGTGCATGTGCCAGCATACATGCAAATGATGTGTTATCACAGCACTGTTTGTACTAGTGAAAAGTAGGAAATACCCTAAACCCCAATATGTATTGATAAAAGGACTGGTAAAATAAATGAGATTGCATCCATATATCACTGGAGAGTGATGAGAAGGCAGATAGATGCTTTCTGTGTGTTTGCTAAGTAATGATTTCCAAGATGCTTCATTTAAAAAGAAGAACAGGTAAGTAAGAGCCAGGCGTGGTGGTACCTGCCTGTAATCCCAACACTTGGGAGGCTGTGGCAGGAGGATCACTGTCAGTTCAAGGCTACCTTGGGCTACATAGTGAGTTGAAGGCCAGTCTGAACTACATAGCGAGATCCTGTCTCCAAAAAAAAAAAAAAAGAGGATGAGGTAGAGAAAAGGTCTCAGAAGTGTCCTGTAGTACTTGTTACCGTTGGGTAAAAAGGGGAGGGAAAAGGATGAAAATTGGTATTTGTGTTGGCATGCACATCTTGAGACTGGATTCGTACCCCAAAACTAACTTGCCTATATTTGTAGGAGCATGTAGTATAACTTTTGTGCTTGATTTATATGAAATGTTGGTTGCTGTTTCTCCTCCTGTTTGACTCCTTTGTTCCTTCTTGTAAAGTGAGTGACCTGTTAACAAGAATTCTGTCAGAGCCCCAGTGTCGCTAATGACGGTAGCTGACAGTGCATATATCATGGCACTGTTGTAAATGCTCTGCGTGCCCTGGATCATTTTAGTGCAGGAACAGGGGCAAGAGCAGAGGCAGATGTAAATCTGTAACATACTATATTTTGTATTTGAGCTGTATATTGCCAACCAAAATTTGTGTTTCTGCCTAGCTCCTCCTTTATCTGGTAGATGTAAGAATTGAGTGGAAGTACATGGGATGCTGGGTGTGATGGCGCACGCCTGTAATCCTAGCACTCAGGAGGCTGAGGCAGGAGGATCGTTGTGAGTTCGAGGCCAGCCTGGGCTACGTAGTGAGTTCCAGGTCAGTCTCACTACATAGTGAGACCCTGTCTCAAAAA